GCCAGTGATAGCCGCAAAATGTAAGCTAAGCAGGGGCGGACTGACCATTCGGGCAGTCGGGCACGGCCCGAGGGCCCGTGGCCAGTTGGGGGCCCGTGTCCCCCTGCTCCCCCATTACACTTTGCCATTTTGTTCGCCCCGCGTGCTGCCTGCTGGGATCGGCAGCCCTCCCCCCATTGCAGCATTTTGACCACAGGCATAATGTGCCTTGCGATCCCGTGCGGCCGTTCACATTGTGGCCAGAGGGCGTGGCTACGGTGCCATTCATTTCAAAGGCCCCTGCAATTAAGTTCAACTTTTAGTGAATAGACCTGTTATTTTGAACTAATTCTGTAACACCACAATGTATATGTGGGTGGAGCCTGTGGGTGGGTGGGGCTTGTATATGGGCGGAGCACAAGGGGGCCCCATAATCTTATATTGCCCGGGGGCCCCATGTGTTGTCAGTCCGCCCCTGAAGCTAAGATAAGATTTTATCCTAAAATATTGCTATTGTGGGTGTTGGCTTTTTGATAGAAGTTCTGAATGTAGATTGTGGTCGTGCACCCTGCAGTATGGGTGTTTTCGTACATTGAGTGGGTTACTCTTTGTTTTCCTGTGGTTTGGATTTTTTGGCTGATATCCAAAGGTAAATACAAGGGTGTCTAATCTATTCATTTCTCTTCTAAAATAAAGATTGTGGTGTGGTTGTATTGTTGAACAATTCTTTGGCCCAGTATGGTTGGCCATACACTGACAAAATTCCTATTAAGACTGATGGGGGGAAGGGATCCGTCTTTGCTTGAACTGCATATCCCTAGGACTAGCCATAATTTTTCTTCCTAAAATATAGATATGACACATTTGTAGTGACAGGCTTGTTCCCTGTACAGTATATGGAGAAAATAAATTAATGATTGTTTCAAAACATGTCAGGAAATCAATATGTGTGACAAAAAACAGCATCAGAACTTGGAAGTGGTCTTTATTATTGTGTGGTTAACTCCTACAAGGCCCGGTTATTCCAATTAACACACAGATCCACTATTTTTGCACAATACTGCTTGATGTTGGATGCTTCCATCCATCCTTCTGGCAAGATCATGGGGAATGCTGAGTACCTCATATCTCACAAGAAGATGCTCCTTCAGCACTGTGCTGGACCGTCTTCTTGTGAGATTTGGTACACTCAGCATTCTTCAAGATCTCGGTGAAAGGCTTGTGATTTCACCCCTTGCCGTATGGAAGTCGGGGAAAAGGTAGGTATATCTACTGACTTTATTTCCTACAGCTTTTTTTATAGCCTTAAAGCTGCTATGTATAATGCGGGAGGGACCTTGATCTAATAAAAGGTTCTTGTGTTCTAATGCATGGTCTACTTTAATAAACCAACCTTATGATCTTTTTCCCATCAGTATGTTCATACTACTGGCAAGGTGGCAAACCTAATTAGGATAAGTGTTAGGAATTTTAAGTACTAAGAGGGCATCAATGCTTGCATCAAAACAGCCTCAATACTTTGCTCTCTCATGGTTCACCTACTACCCATCTCAGCGCACCTTCAGTGTTACAAAACAGAGCTTATATAATTTCCTCCTTTCTGTGTCCCCTCCCCGACTTCTCCATCACAATCAATAGCACTATGATCAACCCCTCTACTCAAGCCAGGGTGCTCAGAGTAATCCTTGATTCTGAGCTCTCCTTTGAACCTTACATCCAATCACTTTCCAAATCTTGCCGACACAACCTCCATAACATTTTTAAAATGTTCCCTTTTGTTAACAAATGACAGCACAAAGCTTCTAATTTACTCCCTTGTAATATCTCGCCTTGACTACTATAACTTCCTCCTTGTTGGCCTACCACTAAACTGGCTATCCTCCCTTTAGTCTATCATGAATGCTGCTGCCAGACTCATCCACCTTACCAACCGTTCAGTGTTCACCGCCCCTCTATGCCAATCTATCCACTGACTCCCAATTGCCCAACAAATAAAATTCAAAACACTAACAACTACATACAAACCCATCTACAACTCTGCTCCCAGCCATATCACCAACCTCATCTCAAAACATCACCAAAACTAACCTCTACACTCCTCTGAAGACCTCCTGCTCTCCAGCTCACTCGTCAACTCCTCCCATGCTCGCCTCCAGGACTTCTTCAGAGTGTCTCCTATCTTCTGGAATTACCTACCCCAATCTGTCTGCTTATCTCCAACTCTGTCTACCTTTAAGCCCCGTTCACATGTAGCGACTTATCGTGCGATTTCCGCCGCGATATCGCGCATTTTTGCCGCGCGATATCGCAAGAAGTCGCCGGCTAATGATAGTCTATGGAGCTGTTTTAGCTCCATGTCGCTCGTTGCGGTCGCAAGTCGCTTCTACCGGACCCTTTTTTCGGCTGACTTTGCTTTTTTTCTATGGAGCCCGACGGAGAAGGTCGCGCTACCGTCGCTGGAACGTCGCCCCGAAAGTCGCACTATCCCGGCCGCTGCAAAGGTATGTCGCTACATGTGAATGGGGCCTTAGGCGATCCTTGAAAACTCATCTCCTTAGGGAATCCTATCCCACCTCAACATAACTGCCCTTTTACTTTTTCCAGTATCTACACAATCATTATCTTTTGATTCACTTGCCCCTCTTACTAGATCGTAAGCTCTCACGAGCAGGGCCCTCATAACCCTATTGTATTGAAATTGTATTGTAACTGTAGTATCTCCCTCTCATTTTTTAAAGCGCTGTGCAAACTGTTGGCACTATATAAATCCTGTGTAATAATAATAATAGTACCGTATTTCGCGCTCTATAAGGCGCTCCGGACGATAGGACGCAGGGCTTCTGTGACAGAAATTCTGTCACAGAAGCTGCAGTTAGTGACCGCTGAGACAGGTGGCGCTTCGTCGTCTGCTCAAGGGGCTCTATGGCGAGCTCCTATGGGGGACCGTGGTCACGGTCCCCCAGAGGAGTGGGGGTCCCTGAAAACCACGGCGGGGGGCGGACACGATCGCCGCAGCAGCTCGATTTAATACAAGTGATCTAATTAGATCACTTGTATTAAACGAGCAGGGGCTCCCACTGTACATTCAGCTCTGCTCGTCAGGAGCAGTTTTGAATGTACAAAAAACTACTCGCCCGGCGCCCGAAACTGCATGTCCTGGGCGTCGGGCGATAGGTATTTGCTCCATAAGACACAGGCACATTTCCCCCCTCCTTATGGGGAAAAAAAGTGCGTCTTATGGAGCGAAAAATACGGTATATCATTAGATTTGTGGTGTCAGTTGCATTTCTGGAGCTGTGCATGGCCACATTATCTGTTCTTACCAGGAAAAATACAGGTGGAATGGACAAGCATCAAAGGAGTTTTCTTCTTATCTTTTAATAGTAGTGACCTCAGTATATCTGTGACATTTAGGGTCTTTTTAGTATTTGTCTAGCCATGCAATGTGAACTGAAACCAGTCTAGACATGAATGAAAGCACTGTATTCTTAACTCTTTATCTCTTGGGTTGAAAAGGGAGAAAATACATTTCCAGATGCCATTTCACAATGCAATCAATATTTTTGTATTTTACTTACACAGTAAATAACAGTGTATTGACTCTTTGGGAAATGCAGTGTATTTTAGCTTTTGTTAAAAATCAATTTGATTAATGTTTAATCTCTACTGAAATAGTTTTATTGTTTACCAAAATCCTGCAAAACCACCTTTGCATATTTTGGCTTACTTTTCCTAGTGAAATATGCTGCTGAAAAACATGCTGTTCTTTTAGGCCCGGTTTACAGTTGGGATTACGTGAACCCGTGTTCATGCGCGTTTGCAAGAACTTTTGCTGTAGGTGCTGCACGTCAGCCCATTCATTTCAATGGGTTGCCACACTCGCGACAAATGTGGCAAAGAAGCTCATGCAGCCTTTTCAGCTGTGAGCTTCCCGCATTTTGACCACTAGTTTGTGTGTGATTGAGGCATGTCAACGCAGGGGCCAAAATGCACATTTTACCATCGACATTTGGGATGCCATTACCTAGTAATGGCACCGCAAGCACGTCACACATTTTTTGTGCCTGTAGTTAAATGAATTGCTTGCAGATTCTCAGAAAGTTTCTGTCATCAGAGTGATTACAGACAACGCTAGTGAAAATTGGAGCCAGAAAAGGTGTAAAATGAAATGGCCGTACACAAGCAACCGTCTCACTGAGAATAAGAAGCATTATTCCTCAAAAACAAAAATCATCCATGAAGATCTACTTCCTGCTTTTTCTAAAAAAGTGCAGTTGGCTGTTGGTTGCAAAAAGGTTTTCCAGCATGTTGGCAAATCTGTGTGATTATAATCCTGCGACACTTTTGGATTAACATTTGTTAATTTATCTGATTGTGGTAAGTTTTGTTTCCAAATTGACCAGGGAAAAAAATCAATTGAAAGTGATTGGAATAAATAGCCACATACAGGAAGCTTTTACAGATATGATCTCAATATCAAATAATTCTAACACAACAAGACTGAAATGTGTGTGGGCACCTTAAAATTTAGGTAAGAGACTAAGAGCAGGGAGAGGTATATTGGAGATGCATTAAGGCCCAGAGAAAATAAACTGATCTCCTGTTACCTTCCGATCTATCATTGGTATTACCTGGCCTTATAAACTTTTAGATGTTTTATATACTGTACTTTAAACTCCTTTTTCTTTTATGAAAACTTCAGAATTTCATGCAATGATGCTGGAACAGCATTGCATGACGTTTGTAGCTTGATCTTTTGTACTTTTCTAAATGATCCTTATTGCCATGGGACAAAAGAATCAGACTTTTTCAAAACATTGGGCAGTACATGGCACATGGGAATTGTCGGAATTTGCTGCTAACTTGTTTGTTGATATAATTTGAATTATGTGGTTCTTTGTATTAAGGTATGTTATTGTGTTGCTAGGGCATAGTGTATCTGTATTCCCTCAATGCTTACACTGCAGATTTTATTGTTGATTTATGTTATTGAAGTCAAATTTGTTTATTTGTTTTTGCAGGGTTTAGAAGTGCATACAGACTATATGCCCCTGCTGAGCTCTCTGGCTGCCTTTGGTTGGCAACTGACCTGTGTGCTTTCAACACCTATTGTGAAAAATAGTAGGTAAGAAGAACATAATTTGAAATGGAACTATTCAAAGCATATAAACATGTTGGCATCTTCGTACAATTTCATAGGAATCTTGGGTGTCTGGCATTGCCTTCTGCGATACAGAGTAAATGAAATACAAACTCAATTACCTAGGCAGGTATAAGGTCATTGTGTTGATGTTTCTTAATCAGGATGAGTGGAGTGTTTTTGCCAAAGTTTCTTTTTGCAATTTGCCAAAATTTTGCTTCCAATCATTAACCTGTTTAGGCAAAAATTGATTTAAAAAAAAAAAGATTTTTTTTAGTTTACAGGC